CCCACATACAGCATTAAATGCCAATAGTGTGCTCCATGTGGATGATGTCACACCTCTCTTAATGACCAAAAATACCCTAACTAACAAAATGCTTCAGATACAAAACAAGGGTATATAAATATCCAAAAAATTGAGTACAATTATAAAATACTTTATAGTGTGAGTACCCTAACATAATCCTCTCTCTCTCTCTCTCTCTATATATATATATATATATAGTAGGGAAGCATCTACAAAACGCGTATAGGTGAAGTTCTATAGAACTTCACCTACACCTCATCACCGTCCAAAGTTGATCACATGGTTACAATTTTTGGTAGTATTTGAATTTTTATAATTTTTTATTAATCGGATTTATCTAAAATTTGGGGTGTGTGTATATAAGACCAAGTCGCACCAAAATAAAATATTAAAGAAATAATTGTCCTAAAATAAAATGATGAAATTATCCTTGAAACTTTATATAGGTATTTTACGTAATTTTTATCATTCAAATTATTTTTTTTATATTTTATTCATGTGCATCTCACTAAGATGCAAATACCGACAAAATTTCATATCATTATGATTTGTAAAACAAATATTAAAATTCAAACACTATCAGACATTGTGGCCGTGTGATAAACTTTGAACGGTGATAAAGCCGTAGGTGAAGTACTGTAGAACTTCACCTATAGGCATTTTTTAGCATTTTCCTATATATATATATATATATATAAAGAGAGAGAGGGAGGGAAATGATATCATGTCACCATGTCATTATAATATAATGAAACCACATTTCTAGAAAACCATGTTTGTGGTATTTGTATGACCCGAAATTTTGTATACACGCTCTCTTCATCTCAATAATTAATCTCAAAAAAAAAAAAAAAAATTGCAACCTATATATGGTCAAAATGAGTCCCCTCCAACAATGAATGTAGACCGTCCATGTGGTGAATATTAAGATCTAAGCGTTTATGAATTCAAAATCATTTTTGTCTTGATTAACGCTGTTAATCTAATGACAATAAAGTTATCTAAAAAATTTGGAAAGAAAAAAAGATCCTTCTAAGGCCTAGATCTAAGCATCTCACCAAAATGGACGGTCTATGTTAATTGTGCTGAAAAAACACTTTTTAGATTTTTTTTTCAACTGTTTCTTTTTTGTGATTGTTCATTAAAATGAAAAGAGTGTGTCTAAAAATTTGGGTCAAACAAATAACCCTAACATAGTTTTTGAAGATTGTTTCATTATATTATTATACAATCGTTGCATGAAACCACTCCCCATGTATTTATATCGCTATACACCAAGTAGGAGGATAAGAATACTATTTCACTTTCATTAATCAAGTCCACCTTGAAGTTACAGCAAAAGAAGCTTATATAGAATTAAACAAGCATATCATTGAGATGGCCTTTTTCGCATGACTTGATGGGCTGAGGTTTCATTGCATACTAAGATGTCATTAGAAGAGGCTTTTGTTGCTGAATATTTTATGGTGGACCATATTATGATGGATGATAGGATACAAGTTTTTTCTTCTTTTTAAATTGATAATCTTGGTATGAGTTTTCTGGAGATTGGACGAAGGGATTGATGGCGAAAGAACACACGTAGTGATTTTCTTTATGTTCAGTTAATAAAAGAGTGATTCTCATGAGCTTTACATGGGTCATGAACTTTTTAAAACACAGAGAATCACCTGAAACAAATAACCAAAATACACTCCTAGGCTAGTTGTTGTGGAAATAGTTGTAATGCTAAACATGTGATATGCATGATAACTGGCTTTCTTTATGTAGGGAACGTCATAAAAAATATAGAGTAACAAACCACCTAGTGATTTGTGATAATAATATGGGGGTTTGAGATTATGGAATGTTCTATACAACCAAACCAAGTTCTCATTCTTTAGATGGTTGAGGGAAATATCTCGGCCGTATTGCCTATGGGTGGGATGCATGAAGCACTTTGTTGCAATTTCAAATGTGGGACAATGGATGGGCCTTGATAGGGAAGGTGATTTCATGAGCATTGAGTTTTGTCCCTTTCAAGGGTGTCCATAGATGTTAATATGTGGATGACAATCTGATGGAGTACTCGGTGGGTGAAGATAAATAGACTACCAACCTAAATGGGGATGTAGTGTTATTTCTTGATTTTCATTATCTTAGTTGTATTGAGCCATGTGCTATCATTTCCTTTAATTGGTATTGGCTTAGGAAATGTGTGGCTTGCCAAGTGGTATGAGCATGATAACGGTATCATGTGTAGTAATTTGGCTAGCATCACAGCAGGAGATGAATTTCTAGAATCAAAGGATTCTAGAGAGTTTGGTGGAGAAGATCGAACAAGGTAATAACAAATTGAGGACAGAGGGATAAACTCTGCGGTTTGAAATTAAGGACAGAGGGACAACAGAAGGGAAGGACCTTGGTAAACTCTGGGGTTTGAAATTTGTTTACCAAGAACAGATTGAGGTTTGGGATAACAGAATAGGAGCAGGATATTGACTACACTGTGATGGTAATGGGGAGAAGTAAAGCACATACAATGGGAGGGGAGTGACTAGGGATGTGGAATTGTCTCTTGGCCGCTATGTAAGATGTCAAGGCTATTATGGCATACCAGTGTATTGCTAATTGTACAAAGATGGAGGGTAGACACTTTTCATATGTAGTTCTTGTGATGTTTAGGATGACCAAAAGGTAGGACATTTGTGCTTGGTTCTTTTCTTTTTCGAGTGGCTTTACGAAAAGGAAGTCAGCAGGGTGGAATTAAATAATTTAGTTTGTCTTAAATAAAATCTGGATTTTTTCAATTTTCAATTTTCAATGAATTGCTTTCTCTGTCAAACCCATTTTGATGACTCTGTTATTCGCATATTCATGACAACCTCCTATACTGTCTTTGTATTTGTACTTCTTTCTTGTGTGCTGCTTAAGTAGCATCCAAATGTGAACTTCAAATGCATGAAAAAATGTCTTTTTGTTGAAAAATTCATGTTGAAGTCTTAAACCATATCTCCACGTTCAACCAGCTACTGCAAAAAAACATTATCAAAAGAAAAAAACCAGCTACTGCAAAAAATCAGAAAGAGTTATTGTGTTTTTAATGATAAAACTTCTTTTTCCTGGTTCCCAGTAGGAAGGAAAACGCTCATGTTTGGATTAGATTTGATTGCTAATAGTTTGTCATGTTTATTTGCTTTCCATTGGAAAAAGGATTCTGATGCTTGAATGAAATTTTGTCACTAATAGAGAAGAGGAAGCTGACCTGAAGATATAGTCACAAACTCATATTCTTGTTTGAGCCTTCTTTTATTTATTGATCTTGTTTGCTCACTCCATTTAAATAATTTCTTGATGCATTCAGGCGGGTATTCTCAGAATCTGATGACGAAGTCATTGATGACATGCCCTCGCCAAAAAAGAAGATGCCGAAAATCCCAGGGTAATGACCCCTTTTCTTGATAGTATAATCACTCCTTTTGTTAGTATTATCATTCCCTTAGTTTTTGAGATTCATGGCCCATTCAGAGGAAATAACTTATGCTTGATGCATTGCAGTGCCAAAATAGTACTTTTGGAAGGTTTGCACCCAGCTGACTGTGCACAAAGTGCTAAAGAGTTCATGAAGAAGAGAAAACATGGAGTTCAAAGGTCATCCATGGTTTTGAAGAATGCCAACCAGGCTTTGCGCCTCCTGTCTAACAGTGGCATCTTGAGTAAGCATTAAACATGTGTATCACGAGGAATTTATGGTGTTCCCCATGGGATATTGTATGGGGGAGAGATTTATCAGATGGGGATATGAAATATAAATCAACACCCCAAAAATTTGCATTTGCAGGCATATAGTCCTTGTACTTTGTATGGAAGCAATGAGGTGGAATGTTTTTTTGGGTAATTTGTCTTGGTTCACTCAATTTGACAAGGTTTTCGTTTTCTTTTTGAAATTTTGTGAAATTAGTTTTCACATACGAAGTTCGCAGTTTTTACCATGTGAACAAATTTCCCATGATTACCAATACATGGAGTAATTAGAAGCCATTCATATGCATCCAAGTCCGCATGGGCATATTGATTGGTTTAAGTCTCCGTCTCCCTATGATAATCAATTTGACTTTGAAGGCCGACTCTTTATATGAATAGGAGGTACATCTCTTCTTGGTTAGTCCATTCAACCTAAATCTCCTGCTAATGCCATAAAAAGAGTAGGTAAATCATGATGATGCAAGTACACGAGTATGATAGTTTCCATTCACCATGTGCACATGGAAGATAGAAGAGAAACTAATCTCCAAGAAATATGAGGCCTAATCTTCTCACTAATCTACAAAATCTATTACCCACGAATGCATGCACTCTAGGACTTTGAGTGGTTGTGATTTAAGTTATGGAGAAGACCTATGTTTTTGTATGTAATTTGGAGATAAATAGAGAAAATGGATGGGGGGTGTGTGTGACTAGTGCCCATTTTGCTAATTAATGGAAACCCTAGGGGGTTTTTCAAAGCAACTAGAGGAGTCAAGCAAGTGGATCCTTTATATCCATTCGTTTTTACACTTGTTGCTGAGGGATTTAGTTTGATGTTTAATAATGTGGAAGGAAAGGGAAGATTCAGTGGATTTAAAGTTTTAGACACTAGCCTTTGTGTGTCCCATCTACATCTACAATATATGACGCAAAGAGAACCAATTACTCATATTAGCAGATTTTTGCAGTACTTGCGAGATGGATTTGGTCCAGAAGGTCAACTTTGACAAACTTGCCATAGCAAGGTTTGCCTAAGGATTGGGTGGAGTCTCTGGCAAAATAAAAATTGGACGCATGGTTGATAAATTCCCAGTTAAATACCTTAGCTGGCCTATCTTAGTCGGTAGACTATGTAGGTTTGCTTGGGATCCCTTTATTCACAGAAATCAGAATTCAGGTGAAGCTGGATTTATTGAAATTCAAGTTTTAGTCTTTTGGTGGTCGTGGTAATAAAATTCTCCTTGGCAAGCCTACCCATTTATGAGGTGTCTATCATGCAAATGTCAAGTTCTATAATCAAAATTCTTTGACCATTCTATGAAAAACTTTCTACAGTGCTCCTTTGATGATGATAAGAAGTACCATTTGGTTAAATGGGATAAAGTTTGTAATCTTAAGAAGGACGATTGAGTATCAGAATGCTCAAAATCTTTAATAAAGCACTTCTAACAAAATGACTGAAGATTTCTACAAGGTAAAGATCAGTTTTAGAAGACAAGTTCTTGTGATCAAATATGGGATTGATAGGTACTCCTAGTTTTATCAGCAGGGGAAGAGGTGATACCCAATAATCTCAGATCTGGAAAGGTATTCTTTCTTATAAACCAATAGTGAAAAAGAAGTTTTATCAGCAGGGGAAGAGGAGATACCCAATAATCTCAGATCTGAAAAGGTATTCTTTCTTATAAACCAATAGTGAAAAAGAAGAGGTGATACCAAAAATTGACTTAGATGGTCTAGGCCCATTCTTATTAAGGTATGGAGATGGCCAATTCCCAAAGTACAAGCCTTTCTATAAGACTCTCATGACGGATAATCTTAAAAAAGGAGAGATCAACATGACCGGAGGTGTGCTTTATTATTGATTTACTAATTTTCAACCACGTAACATCACTAAGACTTATGTCATACAAACAGGTCCTTCATGCAGTTGGTGCCTTTCTGAAGCAACCACTCATAGTTGTCATCTTGAAGATTGCATTTGCCATTCCAAAAACCATGCTCCGTTAAAATCTTGTCCATCTAATACATGCAGAAGCCATGGTTTAAACTCCAGCTTCTTCGTAACATACAAAAAAAAAAAGTACGCCATGAGAAGACCGACAGAACAGTTTCCACTGTATCCATGGCATCTCCAAAGGGGTCAAAGGTTAGTATCACGGAAACTATACAATTTCAATGCAACTGGGTTTCCTTCAACAAATCTTACAATTAGCTCTAAGCGAAAGTGTCTTCCCTATCACCCTCTGCATGCTCTCCTTCCTCCAAATTGCTGAACTCGAGGAAATGGGTGGGCCTGTGATCCTCATGATAGAAATCACGAGGCGTCCCCAACTTAACATTGTACTTCATACTCACGGTGTGCTTAACACCCATGAAGTTGTAGTTCCAAGGCCCGTTTTCAGGCATCTACATAGAATCACGCAACATGCATATTAGTTTATGAGGTGTGCGGGTCTAATTTTTCTTGACCCAAAAACAAGTAACCGTGTAGCAAAAGAATACAGATCCAAAAGATTACCATGTAGAATCCAAGGAACCGGTCACTGAGAAGCATCTGAACCTTCTCGTAATGGGTTGGGAGATAGCCATGGTAGTTGCTGCCAGTGTCCTTGTTGAGTCTTCCCCACTCGTAACCTGTTGGGGTGAGCTTATATGCAGTCAAGGAGCAGGAGCCAGGAGTGAAACTACAAGTTAGAATGATACACTTCTCCCCATCCCACTGCTTGTTGTTCTCCAGAATCCGAGCATGACACGTAACATCCTGCATGGAAGAACAGTAAGAAAAAAAAAGACATAGACGAACTTCTTTTAGGAACTTAATCACAAGGAATCAAGGATGATGTATGTGATAAACAAACAAAACAATTGCAACAGACAATGTTTTTGAACTCGGCTCAGCCATGGAACTGGCCGAGTTACTCGGGGGGAGTCCAAGTTGACTTGCCTGAGTTTGCACCAAGATGAGAACGAGCCAAAAAATCCAAAAATTCAGTAAAAATCCTGAAAATTTGCTCATAAGGAAAAGAACAAAAAGAGTGATAAACAGACCAAGTATATGCAAGATGAGAAAAGTTTTCAAAGGTCAAAAAACCAAACTTCTTAAATATCGTTTTCTCAGAAAAAATGAGAAAAATAAAAGAAAAATCATAATCATTAACAAAAAAAACCATGAAAAGCACATTAAAAACCATTAATAAGTCTCTATCAAAAAAGAAAAACCATTAATAAGTCGATTATAATTTCATTCAATAGATCAATTAAAAATCCATTTTTAATCTCAGGCAAGACACCGTCAAGCCCAAGCTACTAGCACAATAAAAATTTCAGGTAAAAGATCTAATAATTGAATATTATCCGTAAAAGTACTTGTGGAAGATTCAATTGTGTGAGACTGAGGTTCAGATTTTAAGATTATATTCAACCATGAAAAAGCAGTCCAGCTGACAGAAATTCAAATTTGGAGAGTTTGAATCAAGTCCGCATGCCAATAATTGATTAATTTATCATTTAAAAAAATGCACAGAAGTTACAAGACTGATGCATGTGCGAGAGAGAGAGAGAGAGAGAGAGAGAGAGAGAGAGAGAGAGAGAGAAGAGAGTGTAGAGAGAGAGTATA